GATCGAGACCATCCTGGCTAACATGGTAAAACCCCGTCTTTACTAAAAAATACAAAAAACTAGCCGGGCGAGGTGGCGGGCACCTGTAGTCCCAGCTACTCGGGAGGCTGAGGCAGGACAATGGCGTAAACCCGGGAGGCGGAGCTTGCAGTGAGCTGAGATCCGGCCACTGCACTCCAGCCTGGGCCACAGAGCGAGACTCCGTCTCAAAAAAAAAAAAAACAACAAAACAATTTGTCAATTTCTACCCAAAAAAAACAACACAGAAACCCATGTAGAGTTTTGGATTGGGTATGCTTTAAATCTGTAGCTCAATTTAGGTAGAATTAACATCTTAATAATGTTCAATCTTTCAACCCGTGGATATGGTGTATGCTTCTATTTACTTAGACCTTCTTTAATTTCTCTCAGTAGTGTTCTGTAGTTTTAACTTTTGTACAGGTCTTACTCATCTTTTGGTAAAATTTATTCTTATTCCCTATTTTTGATGCTATTACACATGGTATTATATTTTAATTTTAATTTGATTGTTCATTGCTGATACAGAAAAATATTATTTTGTGTAGTGATCTTATATCCTACAACAAGCTTGTCCAACCCGTGGCCTATGGGCCGCATGTGACCCAAGACAGCTTTGAATGTGACCCAACACAAATTTATAAACTTTATTAAAACATGAGACTTTTTTTTTTCTTTGCAGTTTCTTTTTTTTTTTTTTTTTTTAAGCTCATCAACTATTATTAGTGTTAGTGTATTTTATGTGTGGCCCAAGACAATTCTTCATCCATTGTGGCTCAGGGACACCAAAAGATTGGACACCCCTGTCTTACAATTTTGCTAAACTTATTTATTAGTTTTAGTAGGTTTTTTGCATATTTCATCATATTTTCTATATAAATGATAGTAGAGATGTACTGTTTGTGAATAAAGGCAGTTTCATTTCTTTCTTTCTGATCTGGATGTCTTTTATTTTCTTTTCTTGATTGATTGCACTGGCTAGAAGCTCCAGTACAATGGTGAATAGTAGTATTGAGAGTGAACCTTCTTGTCTTATTTCTGATCGTGGAGATAAAGCATTCAGTCTTTCACTGTTAAGTCCGATGTTAGCTGTAGGTTTTTCAAAGGTGCCTATCAGATTGAGGAAGTATAATTCTATTCCTACTTTGCTAAGAAGTTTCATCAGGGATAGATATTAAATATTAGATCTTGTCAAGTGCTTTTTCTATGTTGAGTGACATGATCATACAGTTTTTCTTTTTTATTAATATTTTGGGCTTTGGTAGTTTATGTCTTTAAAGGAATTTGTTCATCTGTATTGTCAAATTTATGGTATAAAGGTATTCATAATATTCTCTTGTTAACCTTTTAATATTTGTAGAATCTGTAGTGATGGCATCTCTCTCATTTTTTATTTTGTACAACATGATGTTTTGAAATATGTATATGTTGTGGAATGGCTAAATAAGCTAATTAACATATGTATTACCTCACATATTTATCCCTTTTTATGATCAGAACACTTGAAGTCTACTTTCTTAGCAATTTGCAAGGAAACAATACAGTAGTCACCATGTTATACAATAGATCTCTTGAATTTATTTCTCCTCCCACAACCTCTGGTAACCAGCATTCTACTCTCTACTTGTGTGAGTTCAACTTTTGTAGATTGTACATATGAATGAGATCATTCAGTATTTGTCTTTCTGTGCCTGGCTATTTCACTTAACATAATATCTCCAGGTTCATCATGTTGTCACAAATGACAGGATGCCCTTCTTTTTTAAGACTGAGTAGTATTCCGTTGTGTATATGTGCCACATTTTCTTCATTCATCTGTTGATAGACATTTAGATTGACACCATATCTTGATCATTGTCAATAATATTGCAATGAATATGGAGTGCAGGTATCTTTTCAATATACGAATACTGTTCTTTGGATATATCACCCAGTAGTGGGATTGCTTGATCATATGGTAGTTCTATTTTCAATTTTTTGAGAAACCTCCTTACTGTGTTCCATAATTTACATTCCTACCAGCAATGTGCAAGGATTCCCTTTTCTCCACATCTTCACCAACATTTATCTTTCTTTTTTTAATCATAGCCATTTTAACAGGTGTAAGAAGAAATCTCATGGATATAATTTGCATTTCTCTAATGATTAACAATCTTGGGAATTTTTTCATACTCCTATTGGGCATTTGTATGTCTTTTGAGAAATATCTATCAGGCCCTTTGATCATTTCTTTTTTTTTTTCTTTTTTTTTGAGATGGAGTCTCGCTCTGTTGTGCAGGCTGGAGTGCAGTGGTGTGATCTTGGCTCACTGCAACCCCCACCTCCCAAGTTCAAGCAATTCTCCTGCATCAGCCTCCCGAGTAACTGGGACTACAGGCATGTGCCACCATGCCCAGCTACTTTTTTGTGTTTTTTTGTAGAGATGGGATTTCACCATGTTAGCCAGGATGGTCTCTATCTCTTGACCTTGTGATCCACTTGCCTTGGCCTCCCAAAGTGCTGGGATTACAGGTGTGAGCCACCGTGGCTGGCCAAATTTTTCTTTCTTTGTGTCCTTACTCTAAAAGCTTTTTTCCATTTTTAAAATTTTTTATTTTCTTTTTTTACTTTTTAAACTTTTTTGTTAAAACTAAGACACAGAACAGGTGTGGTGGCTCATGCCTGTAATCCCAGCACTTTGGGCAACCGAGGCGGGCTGATCACCACCTGAGGTCAGGAGTTCGAGAGCAACCTGACCAACATGGAGAAACCCTGTCTCTACTAAAAATACAAAATTAGCTGGGCGTGGTGGCGCATGCCTGTAATCCCAGCTACTTGGGAGGCTGAGGCAGGAGAATCGCTTGAACCTGGGAAGCAGAGGTTGTGGTGAGCCAAGATAGAGCCATTGCTCTATCTCTAGCCTGGGCAACAAGATAAAACTCCGTCTCAAAAAAAAAAAAAAAAAAAACAGGCCAGGCACCGTGGCTCACGCCTGTTTCTTTGAGAACATTGTAGTGCAAGTCTTCTGGTGATAAATTACTTAAAATTTTGTTTTTGAAAGGTATTTTCACAAGTACAGAATTTAAGGTTGCCAACTTTTTTCTTTCCATACTTGTTTGCTTTTTATTCCTCTAAGAAATCTGTTATCATCTTTGTCTTTATTTTTTATATGTAATGTGTCCTTTTTCTCTACTTTTGAGATTTTTGCTGTATCATAATTTTAAGCAATTTGTTTATGATGTTTTGACTTTATTTGGTATAGTTTTCTTCATGTTTTTTGTGTTTCATGTTCATTGAGCTTCTTGGATCTCTGGCTTTATGCTTTTTCTTAAATTTGGAAAAATATTGGCCATTATTTCTTCAAATATGTTTTCTGTCCCTCCTCCAATCTGCTTTCCTTTAGGGACTGAAATGACATATATATTAGGCAACTTGAAGTTGTGTTACAGCCCACTGATTTTTTTTTGTTTTTGATAATTTTTATTGCTATGTCTACAAATTCATCTTTTCAGCTGCAGTTTCTAATCTGCCATTAATCCCACGCATTTTCATCTTCACACATAATTTTTCTATCTAGAAGTTCCATTTGGGTCTTTTTTATTTCTTCCATGTCTTTATGTAACTTTTTAAACCGATAGAATACAATTATTATAACTGTTTTCATGTTTTTATTTGCTAACTTAACATCTGTGTCAATTCTGGGTCAGTTTTGATTGATTGATTATTCTCATTATGGGCCATGTTTTCCTGCTTCTTTGGATGCTTGGTAATCTTTGGATATTAGACTTTGTGAATTTTACCTTGTTAGGTATTGATTATTTTAGTATTCCTATGAATATCCTTGAGTATTGTCCTCTAGTGCAATCAAGTCAATTGGAAACAGTTTGATCCTTTTAGGTCTTACTTTTTATGATCTATGTGGTGATCTGAGCAGTGTTCAGTCTACAGCTAATTATCAGCCCTACTGAGATAAAAGACTTCTGAGTATCTATCTAATGCCTCATGAATTAGAAATTTTTTCAGTCTGATTGCTGGCAACAGGCACCAGCCTTATGTGAGCACAAAACACTGTTCCCTGTAACTTCGTTGAAGGATTCTTTCTCCAGACTTAAGTAATTTTCTTACGCACATGCTAATCAGTGTTCTGTCCCTAGACTTAAGGGTGTCCCTCTGCTAATCTCTTGGTTCCTCTGTCTCTGGAGCCTTCTCCTCTTCAGTAATTTGTTCTGTCAGTTCTAGTCACCTTGGTCTCCCCAAATTCTCAACTCTACTTCCTCAATTCAGGTAGTCCACTGGGGTAACTTCTGGGTGCCCTCTCCCTGTGCTGTTTCCTGGAAACTCTCTCAAAGCAATAAACTGGGGTGATTTATTTTTTCCATCTCTCAGGAATTGCTCTCTCATTGCTTGTCTTGTTTCTTGAAACCATTGTTTTATCCTTTGTTCTGTGGGCTGTTTATTTGTTTGTTTTGGGTTATTTCAGGCCAGAGGGTAAATGTAGTTACTATGACTTCATCTTGGCCAGAAGTAAAAGTTGTAACAACAGTTATTTGTTTTCTACCTCAGGGTCAGTTGGGCTTCAGCTGATTTAATCTGGGGTCATTGAGAACTGTTTGGGCTAAGCTAATTTCTACTGGACTTTATATATATATGTACATATAAATACATATGTATGTGCTAAGCTAATTTCTACTGGACTTTATATACGTACATATGTATGTGTATAATACACACATATACACATATACATTTATGTGTGTGTGTGTTTATATATACATGTGTATGTATGTGTGCATATGTATGTGTACATATATGTGTGTCCATATACATAAAGAAGGTTTAATTTAGTTGAAAGTAGAAATCAGCAGGTCAGTAGTAGCCACCATAATCTTGGGATATAATACTACTAATTTCAAAGAAATTATGGTATAGTGTTGAAATGTATATTTCTAAAAATAACTATGTAAATTATCATTTAACATCTTTGTTTTTTATTTTAAAATTAGAAGACAATGAATGTAAAACTATGCAAGAATCACAGGAAACCCACATATCCAACCACCTAGATGAAGTTGTTGCTGCTGTTAGCATCACTAATAGTAAGAAGTTCCAAAACAAGCTGCCTCAGACAGCACTATTCCAGCCTCCTCGAGAGAAACTCCACCTCTGTGAAGAGAAAGCAAAGTCTTATTCCAACAGTCACGAAGTAAGGAGACTTTTGTTTCTGTATTTCTACTCTGGGATTTGAGCTATAAGGTATAATCAAGAGAAGTAGAATGTTTTGGATTACATTCCTAATCTCAGCAGTTTGGTACAAGAGAGTGTGTAAGACAGTGCCTTTGTTACAACATGAATGAATGTAGTATCTCTAGGCTCCAAGCACAGCGGCTGGCGCAGCCAACAACAAATATTTATTGAGGTCCCACTGTGTGCCAAGTCTGGGCACTGGGATACAACACAAACAAAGCAGATGAAGCTTCTGCTCTCATAGAGCTTATAATTCCTTATAATCTCAGATCTTGTTCTCTGCATGCTTCTTTCCCATTCTTTCCTTGAAAGTTTTACTCACTCACTAACTCATTCAGTAGGCATTTCTCTGTCACCTCTTATGTGTTGGGTCCTGTTCATCCATTCATCATAAATACCTATTGTATGCCTAATATGTGCCAGGTGCCATGTAGGTACCAGGGGCACAGAAAGAAAAGCCACAGTCTTTGTCTTGGAGGGACTCGGGATTTGGTTGGGAAGATAGATGGGGGACAGATAATGGTAGTCAGTTTGATAAGTTCTGTGAGAGCTCGAGTGACATAGATACAAAACAGAAAGGGGTGGGCAGTGAGCCTGGAGGTGGTAGAGGGACAGCAGGTAAAGCACACTTTCTTGGGATGGGAGTTACGTAGACTGCATTAGTAAACAGTGCTTAGGAGTTGGACAGGTGATGAAGAGGACCAAAATGTTCTGGACAGAGGTAGCAGATAGACAAGAGCCAAAGGTCTGAGGGAGTGCAGTCTGTTTGGAGAACTATAAGGAGCTGTCTGGGACTAATGTGTTAGTGACACAGGGCAAGATATGAAGCTGGATTATGGGCAGGAACTGAGGCCCAGAGGGCACTCAAGGCCTAGTGAAAGAGTTTTGATTTTCCCCTGAAGATGATGGAGGATTACCATGAGGTTATAAGTAGAAGCATGCCATGAGCAGGTTTGATTTTAAGAACAATCACTCCCATAGCTATGAAAGGTATGGACAAAAAAAGAGTAAAACTGGAAGAGGAGCATCAGTTAGGAGGATATTTGCAATAATCCTCCAATAATGAGGACCTGAACAACACGTGGCAGAGGCAATAGAAATGCTGAGCTCTTTTGAAAGGAATTTAGAAATGAAGTCAGTGGGACAGGACTGGATGACTGAGGGGACATAGGGAATGGGGATGTGAGAGTGAGAAAGATGGGGTGTGTAGAATTCCTACCACCCAAGGTCTGAGTCTGCTTGGATGATTGGAGACTTGCCCATGACCTTCATCAGTATAGTGAATACAGGAGAAAGACCAGGATTATAGAGAAAGAGCACAAATTTGTTTTTGAGGTTGTACTTGTTCATTATGCAACAGATACTCGGTACCTACTATTTGTAGGCTCTAGGCTGGCAGCCTTTCTCAACCAGACTTCTGCAAAAGAATTAAGCCCTCATGCCCAAAGGCATTTAACAAATGTAAAGAATTAACTTATTTTCTGTGTATCTAGAATGGTATTAAACATGTCGTTGTTCTGTGGTTCTGGTGAAGAATCCAGGATACAATGGTGAATAGGACAGACAAGGTACATACCCTGATGGACCTGAGAGGCGATCGACGTTGTAAATGGACCAGATTCTTATAGACTGTGATAAGTGCTAAGGAGGACATAGAGTGGCTCTGTCTTGGGTAGCGTGATCAGGGAGGGCCTCCAGGAAGATAAGGTGAGACCTGAGGAAGAGAAGGAGCCAGTGTGGAGGAGCTGAGGGAAAAGAGTTCTAGGGAGAGGAAATAGCACACATAAAGCTACAAGGTAGGCACAAGCAGGACATATTTGAAGCAAGGAGAAGAAGCTGCAAGCTGACATTAAACATAGTGAGAGAGGCTGTCAGTTCACTTACGGCCTTGCAGGTTTCAAGCTAAGTGCCCTGGAAGGCCTTAAAAATATTTTCAGCAAGGTATTAACATGATGTAATTTACTTTTTAAAATATCAGGTTTTTGGTAATTTTGTATTTTAAAGTAATTTCTGACTTACAGAAAAGGCACAAGATTCACTCATTGTTAACATTTGCTGTGTTGCTTTGTTCTCTGACTCTCATTGTTTTTCTGAACTGAGAGTAAGTTATAGATATTATGGCCCTTTACCCCCAAATTCTTCAGTGTTTATTCCCTAAGAATAAAGCTATTCCCTTACATAGCCACGGTACAGTGATCGTAATTAGGAAATTAATGTCAGTATAATACTATTATCTAATCTGTAAACCTTGTTTATATTTCTTCTTAATAATGTCCTTTACAGAAAATAATCAGACCCATGGTTCAGTCTGTGAATTCATGCTAAATAGAGTTGTTATGTCTCTTTAGTCTCCTTTAATCCGAAACAGTTGCTTAACCTACTTTGTTTTTCATGATCTTGATATCTTGGAAATATGTACTCTAATTGTTTTGTAGAATATCTTTCCTTTTGAGTTTGTCTTATGCTTCCTCATGATTCTATTCAGATTGTACATTTGGAGCAGGAATACCACAGGTGTGACATGGGGCGCTCCTTAGTGCGTCCTGTCAGGAGGTGCAGAATGTCTATTTGTCTCGTGACAGTGATGCCAACCTTGAACATTTGGTTAAGGTGCTGTGTGGCAGGTTTCTTTACTGCAGAATTGCTATTTTTCCCTTTGTAATTAATAAGTATTTTGTGGGGAGATTCACTGAGACTATGTATATATTTAAAACTTCACTCCGTCAGTTTTAGTGTTCACTGATGATTTTCACCTGAATCAGTTATTACTATGATGTTTGTCACAGAGCCAGTCGCTGACTTCCACATGCTTTCAACATTTGTTTGTTGGCATTCTATTATAAGGAAGAGCTTTTCTTTCTTCACAGCTTATTTATCATTCATTTATTCCTATCAGTATGGGTTCAGGAAATTGTATTTTTCAAATACACTACAACCTATTGTTTTCTTGGAAGCTCAGATTATTCCATATCTGCCAATTGGAGACCCTTCAAGCTGACTCCTGAGTCCTCAATCCATCCCCTCATTGTTTAACCACTTCCTGATGCTACCACTTGCTGGTAAATCATCTCAACTTTCCAGCCTTATATTCCTTCATCTTTAAATTGAGGGGACCAGATTAGATTATTTCCAAGGCTCCTCCCAGTTTTGAAATTGCCTTGCTACTTCATACTTGTCTTCTGTCTGCCCCTTACCAATGCCTATTGCTAAAGCCACTGGGACTGGTAGAATAAAGGTTGGAAAACCAATAGGGATATTTGGACCATGCCTTATAACATAAGGAAGTGAAGGGAGGGCAAGCTGTTTCTTGTATACCTCTAACCCCGCTCAGGTCCTGAGAACCAAGGTTATTATCAGGGAAGCCCAACTCAGCCTGCACAGTCCCCTTTGCTGGAAATCTGTATTTGGGACAGATTCACTATCAAAACAGATCTCCCTCTTTTTTCTGTCTGGATTCCGTGATGTTGTCGTCATTTCCTTCTCTTTCATACACTGTAGTTGTTGTTCTCTTTCTCTCTCTCCAAAGAAGTCATTCCATAAACTTCCTGTGTCTAGAGGCAATAAAAAGGTGATTCCCAAAAGAAGTACAAACAGCCAGCTAACACATGAAGACGTTCAGCCTCATCAATTTGGGGGAAAAATGTGGACTAAATCCAGAAGAAATGGGCCAACTGACAAATTGACAAACTAAAACCAAAACAAAAATTCCACAATTTGTACTCGGTTCAACATAAGGGGCATTTCTGCTCACATATGATGTGTTGAAAGTATGAACTGGTGCAACCTCTTGGAGAGGTACTTCACCAATAGCTACTCACAGCCTCAGAATTTTGCATATCCTTTACACAACGATCCCATTTGGAGGAATTTATTTTGTGGGAATGTTTATGGGTGTGTGCAAAGGTATCCATACGGGATATTCAGTGAGTAAAAAATTTGCAGACACCTAAATGCCCAATAAAGAGTGGATTGAGTAATGCGGTTATGATATAATCATATAATAAAATACTGTAGAGCCATTCAAACTTATATCATAGAAGATGACATGAGAAGTTATTCATATATTGTTAAAACAGCAGACTGTAAACCTGCAAGTAGCTTATGAACCTATTTTTGAAAAAGAAAAAATAGCCAGGCACAGTGGCTCACACCTGTAATCCCAGCACTTCGGGAGGCTGAGGCGGGCGGATCGTGAGGTCAGGAGATCAAGACCATCCTGGCTAACAAGGTGAAACCCTGTCTCTACTAAAAATACAAAAATTAGCCGGGCATGGTGGGGGGCGCCTATAGTCCTAGCTACTCGGGAGGCTGAGGCAGGAGAATGGCATGAACCCGGGAGGTGGAGCTTGTAGTGAGCGGAGATTGCACCACAGCACTCCAGCCTGGGTGACAGAACGAGACTCCGTCTCAAAAAAAAAACAAAGAAAAAAGAAAAAGAAAAAATATATAGATTCATAAAAATAAAGAATAAAGGGATATTTAGCTGCCTAGATATCTCTAGGGGGTAAACTTACAGGTGATTTTTAGTTTTTATCTTTTTGCTCGTCCGTATTTTGACAATGAGCATACATTATTTTTGCAGTAAGAAACATGTTACTATAGAAAAAAAAATGCCACAGTCCACCTTCTTTCAGCACTTTATGGTGAGCATGTATTCCTTAGCTTCCTCCTGCTAGGTCACAAAAGTGACTCTTCTTTGGCCAACTGTCTGGCTGTGTATTTTTGTCTAGAAAAATGTTGTTTTAGGGTGAAGGTATTTCCAATGCATGGAGGAATTGTGTGGAAATGCAAGTCCTTTGAGCTTTGACATTGATGGGGGTGCATCCTAGGGGCATCCTGGGTCTTCTCCACAACTCCATCGTTGTTCTTACCTTTCTTCCTCTGCTTTGACCCCTTCAGCTTTCTTTCTTCAGCCATCTCTCTTGCTGTTCTGACTATCTGCTGCTGCATAACACCCCAACAACTTAGTGTCTTAAAACAAAAAGAGCGATTCATTTTCTCATGAGCTTGCAGTTTTTGCAGAGCTCAGTGGGGTTTGCTCAGCTTTGTTCCACACAGCATCAGCTGGTCTTGAAAGGTCTGGAGAATCTGGTGCCAAAATGGTTCACTTTCTATGTGGGTCTTTCTATGTGGGTCTTCTCTCCACGGGGCCATGTTGGCTTCCTCACAGCACTGTGGTTGGGTTCTGTATTAGTTTGTGGTGCTGACATAATAAAATTCCACACATGCTGTGGCTTAAAGAACAGAGTTTATTTCCTCACAGTTCTGGAGGCTGGAAGTCCAAGATCAAGGTGTGAGCAGGGCTTGATTTCATTCTAAAGCCTCTCTCCTTAGTTTGTAGATGACTGCCCTCTTGTTGTATTCTCACATGGTCATTTCTCCATGTGCATGCCCATCCCTGGTGTCTTTTCCTCTTCATATATAAGGATACCAGCTGTATTGGACTAGGGTCCGCCCTAACACCTTGTTTGAACTTAAATCACCTCTTTAAAGACCTCATCTCCAAAAACAGTTAAATTATAAGCTGCTGGGGGTTGGGACTTAAATATATAAATTCAGGGAGGTTGGGGAGGGGACACAGTTCAGCCCATAACAGGTTTCAAGTGTGAGTACCCAAGAAGAGACAGAAAGCAAAGCCACCAGTTCCTTTAGACTGTGGCCTGAAAATTGGTCCTGCATCATTTCCTCCAGGTTCTATTGGCCAAACAGTCATAAAGCCCAGATTCACAGGAAATGGGACATAGACCCCCATCTGTGGATGGAAGGAGTATCAGAGAATTTTGGAGCTGAAGGTTTTCGTTTGTTTGTTTGTTTGTTTGTTTGTTTTGAGATGGAGTCTCGCTGTGTTGCCCAGGCTGGAGTGCAGTGGTGCAATCTCGGCTCACTACAGACTCCGCCTCCCAGGTTCACACTGTTCTGCCTCAGCCTCCCAAGTAGCTGGGACAACAGATGCCCACCACCACGCTTGGCTAATTTGTTGTATTTTTAGTAGAGACTAAAAATACAGGGTTTCACCATGTTAGCCAGGATGGTCTCAATCTCTTGACCTCATGATCCACCCACCTCAGCCTCCCAAAGTGCTGGGATTACAGGTTTGAGCCACCGCGCCCGGCCTGGAACTGTGTTTTAAAACTACCAGCTTTGCTTTGAGGATATGGCTGCTCTGAGATCACCTCGAACTGGGAATCTAGTTTTCTGTTCTTTTTGTCCTAGCCCTGAATGAAAATGTGCTTCTCACTGCTTTAATCAACTCTGTAAGTCCTGCTGATCTCATTTGCTATGCTAGTGTAGACGGCTAAGGAGAGTTTTGAATTGAGAGCTAAAGTATAGTATTTGACAGCCTGGGCAACATGGCAAAACCCTATCTCTACCAAAAATACAAAAAATTAGCCAGGTGTGGTGGTGCACACCTGTGGTCCCAGCTGCTCAGGAGGCTGAGGTGGGAGGGTTGCTCGAGCCCACCCTGGAGGTCGAGGCTACAGTGAGCCAAGATTGTGCCACTGTACTCCAGCCTGGGTGACAGAGTGAGACCCTGTCTCTCTCTCTCTCTCTCTCTCTCTCTCTCACCCTAACCCTAACCCTGTCTCTCTCTCTCTCTCTCTCTCACACACACACACACACACACACACACACACACACAAAGTATAGTATTTGCGAACACTACCATTTGCCCCTGTTGTGCCTGCATATGGAGTAGCTGTTCATTGGTGGACAGCTGGGAAACCTAGAGAATGACTAGATGTCTGCTCTACTTTTTCTATTTTTTAAATTCTATTTCTTTTTTTCACCTTTAAATGTGCTATAAATTGTACTTCTTATGTTTATTGTCTATTTCATCTTACCAACTGTACACTTTACCACCCCAAATAGATCTTTGTCTGTTTTGTTCTCTGATACATCTCAAGTGCTTTGAACAATGTTTTGAACATAGTAGTCACTCAGTATTTATCAAAGGGATATAAAAGCACATTGATTTTGTGTTTTGTGACTCTTAAGTTTTAAGTTGTATAACTGGTAAGCCTGTTTTCTCTTCCTAACAGTACAAACAGGCCGTCCACGAGCTTGTGCGTTGCGTAGCACTGACAAGAATTTGCTATGGAGACTCACATTGGAAACTAGCAGAGGCACATGTTAATCTGGCTCAAGGCTACCTCCAGCTGAAAGGTAAGCTCGCCTTAGACTGAGGGTGATCAATTGGTTGATTTCTGCTGTTCTCCCCAAAATTTGATTCATACTTAATTCGAAGGATGGGGTTTTTTAATATTCTTCTTTCTAAATACCAAGAAGCCATTTCCTTTTAGAAAGAGTTGATAAAGTATATAACATGTAAACATTCAAAGGGGAAAAAGGGAAAAAATATTGTAACTTTTTTTTTTATGATTTCAAAAGTAAGGTTCTTAGGAGAAAATTAATCTACAAAGAAGACTTTGTAGGAAAAAACCCAAGGTATGGAATAGGGGCCCAGAATGGGATTCATTCACACTTTTATTGGAGAATCTCTTGACTGTAAATAACTAAAAAATTTAAAAAGACTAACCCAAATTGACATAAACAAAAGTTTTTGGCTCATACAACTGAAAAATGCAAGAGAAAAACTTGCTTTAGATTTAGCCATATCCAGTGTTCAAACAATGTGACCAGGATTCAGTTTGTCTCTCTCCCACTGCTTGGCTCTGTTTTTCTTGGTTTTGCTCCATTCTTAGCCAGGCTTTGCCCACATAGTGGCAGCAAGACTGCCTGCAACTTTAGGCTTCCCTTATAAGCATTCCCAGGAGTAAAATAATGTCCCTCTACCAAAATCCTAGAATATGGGAAGGGTTCTAATTGAAACAACTTGGGTTGTATACCAAAGGCAAGGAGTAGTCTGATTGGCTAAACCTTCCTTTTGGATTCATTGGATCCTGAAGGAGAAGCAGGCCTTCGCCAAATCACATGGATTGGATGTGCAGGAGCCAGGCATCCCAAAAGGGAAACGGGAGACTGGGTGCAGGGAAGACAAAAACAATAGACACCGAGGATGTGATAATGGCTTCTACTTACTGACTGTGCAGCCCAAGACAAGATGGACAAGAGCATCTCTCTGCTCAGCTTCTTCGGCTGAAAAGTGATAATGATGGTGATGGTGATGCTAACTTTCCAGGGTTGGCCCAGTGAATAAAGAAAACAATAGAAGTGGAAAACACCAAATGCCAAGCATATTCTATACCAAGCATATTCATTATTGCCATCCAATCAATTTGGCCAAATCTGATTATAGACTTGTCCTACCTATCAGATCAAAGCTGTTAGAGACCTTGGAGATTATCTAGTTTAAACTCTGCCCTCCCACCCCGTTTTGTAGATTCAGGGAAAACAATGAGTCTGAGTTAGAACAGCTTACCCCATACCACACTGTTAATAAGTAGCTGATCTAAGACTCAGACCTAGGATTTCAATGCCAGTTTGTCCTGCCATCTGGGGTTTCAGATGATGCTTTTCTTATACAGCCTGCTGCCTCTCTGCGTGATAGTCCTTCTCAATTTAAAGTAAGAGTAGTATCTGCCATTTATTAAAGTCTCATTTGGTGCCAGGCATCATGTTACTTTCCATGCATAACCTTGTTCAGTCCTCACCACGGTCCTCAGAGGTGGGTATTTTTAATATCCCTGTTTACAGCTGAGAAAGCTGAGGCCAGCATTTTATAATAAGTGGTAGAGCAGGGGATCCATTCTGGGCAGTCTGACTTCAGAGCCAATGTTTTTTTTTTATGATTTCAAAAGTAAGGTTCTTAGGAGAAAATTGAACTTCACCCTATGCTGCCTCCAGTAAATTGAGTTCAGGTTCCTTCAGGGACTTGACACAGTTGAAAATACAGTCCACCATGCTTTGTGTAATATCACAAGCACAGGTGGCACTAATACATGTGTGTGCTTTTTAAAAATATGTAATAAGATAATATCGTGTAAGAATTCCCACATGAAAAGCATACCCTTGACTTTCTCCATTAGAAAATATATTCTTCCTGTTTTATAGACATAGGAACAGAATTAACTTCATATTTTGACAGGATTTTTTAGAGATGTGAGATACAATTTTGTGTAACTAAGAACATAAGACGGGGGCTGTGTGTATGTGAGTGGAAGTGGGTGTCAGTGTAAGGGAGGAGGATGGGAATACAGGGAAGTGCAAAGCCCTGAAGCTTTGCTGGCTTCAGTCCTCCCTTCCCACAGATTAACAAGCCCATGGAGGAACACTGGAACACACTGAGGAATTCGTTCTTAGTAGTAATTTTTTTTTTTTTTTTTTGCTCCATTTTGTTTCATATTAGTCTCTTACCACATAGGAATACGAAATTATCACACATTAATCTGTTACCTCACTGGAATTGTGTTTGTAAGTTTTTGTAGATATCAGATATGCATTATGTTAAAAAATAACTCTCTGACGTTGTAATTATAGGTGGGTGAGCTGAAGATTCAGAATTTTTAGTATTTCATTACGATTGCAGTTACACAGCCAGGATTAAAATTCGTGAATATTTTATTTCCTGCCCAGAATGCTGTAGTTCTTGTATTCAATTTGTTTCTTATAATTATATGTAACATATTTTACTTCTGATATTGGTGAAGTTTCAAAGTTGTTCAATTCCAGCTCATTCTGTTTATTTCTAAAAAGGCCATTGGGGGAAAATTTATCTTGAGTACTTGGTATAAAACACTTCTTTGGTTGTTACAGTCACGACAGTGTTTCATGCTGCCCAGATACATCTCCATGTGCCATTTGACAATATGTGAAGGAGACCTTGTTAGATTCTCAGACTGTAGAGAACTGTATTCCTGTCCAGTTGAGATGAAAGAGAAACTGAGACCTCTTTTTCTTTGTCCACAGGACTGTCACTGCAAGCGAAACAACATGCAGAAAAAGCCAAACAAATCCTCGCCAACTCCATTGTGCCTCCCTATAACGAGAATACAGATGTTTTCAAGTTTTCCATTGAGCTTTTCCATACCATGGGCAGAGCTTTACTCTCCCTTCACAAGTATCCTTTTGCCTCTAACTTTTACAAATAGAAATACTATTCATATAATACTTATATGCCAAGTAAAAAGCTGATGCTGATGGATGACTTAGGAAGTGTGATTGGAAGTATGGGAACCAAGGAAGTTCAGGACATGGGGTGTAGAATCTAGAACCAAGTGGAAAGTTTCCTGAACACAATTTAGTTTTAAGGAAGCTTCAGAGAATTTGACAAAAGCAGAGAGACTTTCAAAGGAGCTGCTACAATGTGGAAGGATTATAAAGGAAGAATGGATAGAAATTGAAGCACGGATCAGATTATCATTTGCACAGTAAGTTTCAAGTTTAGGATTTTGCTTACATGATGGCTGGAGGCTCTTTGCCAGTAGAATCTGTCTCAGGTAGGAGGAGCATCTCCATGAGGCTGCGGCTATGGCTTCTCCAGAGGCCACTGTGTAAAAGTAAAAGAGGAGCACAGTCATGTCAGAGCAGCCCCAACCAAGGCATCCATCAGTGACACTTTTCACTCTCTATGGAGTGCCCTCATATCCACCCTGGGTCCCAGAGTTCTGATCATTATTCTCTTGACTTTCTTTTTACCTGCTCTCCCTCCTCACCCCCAGCCCCTACACCCTTCTCTTCCTCCCTCCATTCCTTTTTTCCCTGCCCTGCTCTGGTCTAAAATGCTTCAACGGGTTGCTTTTATGATGAAAACCTAAAAGGAGAAAGATCTTAAACTATCTGAATCCATGATAATGAAAGGATTGTTCTTTGTTCCTCGCCTTACTCCATACTCACCAAGTAAACTCAGCTGGAAGAGATATGAAGAGAAGGTTCTGCATAGTTAGTACTTTTATCTCTCTCCAAAGGGCAACCTAAGCCAATTCCTCAGAGTATTGGGGTGACAAAGTTTGCCCACACTCTTTGGAAAGATGGACTTGTGCAGAGGAAAAGATGAAGAAAGGTCTGTGTTGGAAGAGGCAGAGAATCCCAGTTGACCTACATGGCTTCCCTCAGCCAAACCTGGAAGAGTTCAGTTTACCTTCCTAACTAGATTGTATGTGTAGGTTGATTCCCAAGACAACTCAGAGAACCCACGGAATCATTTTAAGAAAATTGCTAGGAAAGGGCCCCAGGAGAACACACCTAATGCTTCCATGTGAATGGAAAGTGGGAAGAACCAACTTTGACTCATCCAGTTAAAGGTATTTCTTTTGTGATCACAATTCCCCTTGTTCTTTTGTTTTTCTTGAGTGGTTTTTGAACTGCAAGTGCAGAGCTCATTCGTCTGTGCAAATTCTCCGGTATGGATTTTTAAATTAATTTTTTCCCTTCATTTCTGATTTTTTCTCTCATTCTCCTACACACACATCATAGATAAATACTTTAATGATGGCTTATGTTTTTGAGTATGTATCTCTGAGTAACAAATAGTATTGTTTTACATATTTATGTGTTTAAAATTGCTATAAATTTGGCTGAGCACAGTGGCTCACACCTGTAACCCCAGCACTTTGGGAGGCTGAGGCAGGTGGATCACAAAGTCAGGAGTTCAAGACCAGCCTTGCCAACATGGTGAAACCCCATCTCTACTTAAAAATACAAAAATTAGCTGAGCATGGTGGCGCATGCCTGTAATCCCAGCTACTCAGGAGGCTGAGGCAGGAGAAATTGCTTGAACCTGGGAGGCAGAGGCTGCAATGAGCCGAGACCTCACCACTGCACTTCAGCCTGGGCGACCGAGTAGGACTCTGTCTCAAACAAAAAGAATGGAAGAAAGGAAGAAAGGAAGAAAGGGGCGGGGGGGGGGGTGGGGAGAGAGAGAGAGAGAAAGAGAAAGAGAGAAAGAAAGAGAGAAAGAAAGAGAAAATTCCTATAAATTTGTAGCATATGTGTCATTCTGCTTGTTACTGTTTTCCACTCAACATGTTTTGGTTGTTGCCTGGATTTTAGTTCATTGCTTCTGGTTCCTGTATAATTCTCCATAAAATGCATTTGTTGCGTTTTGTTTGTCCATCCTCCTAACAATAGACATTCAGCTTGTCCCCAGCTCTCTGCTGCCACAGCAGTGCTGCCATGACCATTCTTACACAGCTTCACTTATATGGCTAAGCGACACTTTTTCTGAGGTTTATATCCCAGGGGTGGTATTGCTTTTCTGAGGTTTATATTCCAGGGGTGGTACTGAGTACAAACAAACTTTAAGTGCACCAAGCACCAGCCAACCACAACACCCATCTGCATTTGCATTCCCACTTGCAGAGCGGGTGGGTTCCTAGCACACCCCTGGCAATATTTGACATTGTTGATCTTTGCCAACCTGGTGCATATAACGTGCTATCTAATTATTTAAGTTCTGTTTCTATTTCTCCTATTAGTGAGTTTGAATACTTTTCATATACATCTTAGCCACTTGGGATTCTCCTTCTATGAATTGCCTGTTAGTATTCCTTCTCATTTTTATTTTACAGTTTCCTGTACCTTTCCTATTGATAATCAGGGTTTTCTTGTATATTATAAATATTAATGATATAAATATTTTCTTATATCTATTGCCCACTTATTAATTTTGTCTATGGTGTTCTTCATGGCTTAGAAATTATTATTATTTTGCTTCACTCAAATCCATTCATTTTCACCTTATGATTTATGCTTTGGGAGTCTGGTTAGAAAGTCTTTTCCAGCTAAATATCAAAAATATTCTCTAAAATTTCCTTCCAAGACCTACTTTAACTCTACTCCGTATATTTTATCATGAAGCGTTAGCACTGTCATAACTTCTTAGTATTTCATAACTCCATTTATAAATTATTCTTTAGTCCAAGGATTATTCAATGATGTGTGTTTTGGTTTGCAGTTATGAGAGTTTTCAAGATATCTTGATGTTACTGATTTTTAATTGTATTGCGTTGTTATATATATCCTGAAGCTATTTTGTTGGGGTGAGAGGAGGAGAGTTTAACAGCCTCATATCTTCTTAACCTATCACTTTATTGGTTAGTTGACCTTGTCCTTTTTTGTCTCCTACATCTATTCTGTCTGATATTATATCCTAGCTCTCTTTTAGTATATATTTTCCTACAATACCTTTTAAAAAATATTTATTTGGGTTTAAATTTCCTTTTCTCCTACCAATTTTATGTCCCTTTCTTTTTCCTTACTTGCTTTCTTTTAGATTAATTAAATATTTCTGTCATTCCATTTTATACCCATTAATTTGCAGGTTATACACTCTTTTCTCTTGTTTTTTCTTTTATTTCTTCTTTTCTTTGTTGTATACAGGGTCTCACTCTGTTGCTCAGACTAGAGTACAGTGATGGGTTCATGGCTCACAGCAGCTTCAACCTCCCTGGGCTCAAGCAATCCTCTTATCTCAGCCTCCTGAGTAGCTTGGACTCCAGGTGTGTGCCACCACACCCAGCTAACTTTTTGTATTTTTTGTAGAGATGAGATTTCACTATGTTGCCCAGTCTGGTCTTAAACTCCTGGGCTCAAGCAGTCCACCCACTTTGGCCTCCCAAAATGCTGGGATTACAGGTATGAGCCACCATGCCTGGCTTTGTTATTTTCTTTTTATTCTAGTAGTTGCCATGGAGTTTGTCATTTATATCCCTGATTTATTAGAATCTAAGTGTAAATTAATCATTTAACCACTTCCTGAACAATGCAAGGACCTTTGAGCATGCCAGCACTCTTTATTCTCTCTGCTTGGTGCTGTGTTGTCCTGTATTTAAATCATCGTGTATCTTATACTGCAGACAATATGTGTAATACATATAACTGACAAAGGGCTTGTATTTGAAATCTATAAAGAACCCTTATGTATCAGTTAAACAAACACACATAACTGGATAGAAAGATGGGCAGGAGGCTGGGCGCAGTGGCTCATGCCTGTAATCCCAGCACTTTGGGAGGCCAAGATGGGTGGAACACCTGAGGTCAGGAGTTCAAGACAGCCTGGCCAACGTGGAGAGACCCTGTCTCTACCAAAAATACAAAAATTAGCTAGGTGTGGTGGCGGGTGCCTGTAATCCCAGCTACTTGGGAGGCTGAGGCAGAAGAATTGCTTGAACCCGGGAGGCGGAGGTTGTGGTGAGCCAAGATTGTGCCATTGCACTCCACCCTGGGCAACAAGAGCAAAACTCCGTCTCAAAAAAAAAAAAAAAAAAAAGAAGAAAGAAAAGAAAGAGAAAGATGGGCAGGAAACTTCTCCCAAAAAAAGAACACCCACATAGCAAATAAACCTATCAAAAGGTGTTCTAACTCATCAGTCATCAGAAAATGAAAACTAGAATCATAAGATATGGCTGGGTGTGGTGGCTCATACCTGTAATCCCAGCCCTTTGAGAGGCTGAGGCAGAAGGATAACTTGAGCCCTGGAACTCAAGACCAGCCTGGGCAAGATGGGGAGACCCCCATCTCTGCAAAAATATTTTTTAAATTATCCAAGTGTGGTGGTGCTCACCTGTAGTCCTAGCTACTCAGGAGACTCAGGTGGGAGGATCTCTTGAGCTCAGGAATTTGAGTTTGCAGTGAGCTATGCGACACCACTGCACTCCAGCCTGGATGACAAAGCAAGACTGTGTCTCTTTAAATTAATAAATAAAATCATAAGATACTATTACATTCCCACTAGATTGGCTAAAAAAAATTTTAAGAGTAATAAAACCAAATATTTGGAAGTATGTGGTTCTCTGATATGCTCTTTCATATACCATTATTTCAAATACATTTGGTGTAACTACTTTAGAAAACTATTTGGCATTGTCTCCTAAATTTGAACATTTGCATACCCTTTGATCCAGTAGTATCACTACTAAATTATATGCCCAACATATGCATGTTTTCACCGAAAGACATAGCCAAGAATGTTCAAAGCTACATTATTTGTAATAGCCAAGAGTTGGAAACAGCCTAAAGGTTCAACAAAAGTAAAACAGAAAAAATGTGATCTGTTAATATAAATAAAATGATTAAAACTACTCCTAAGCTTAACAGCTTGAATGGCTCTCACAAACAATGTTTAGTGAAAGAAGCCAGATGCAAAAGAATCATACTGTACGATTCCATTTATATAACTGGAGGAGGAAGAAGGTCGTTAGTGACTGGGAGGGCTTTACCAGTCCAGAATCCCTTCCTGCCAAAAGTTAGGTATTCTGTCTTATAAGATAGGAAATACACAATTCAGATATCCAAGATATAATATTTATTGCATTTGTTGAGACCTGATTAATATATCAGTATTTAATATTGAGCGGTGTTGCTGTGAAAAAGAGTAAATGATCCTCTGGCACCTCCTCTGAGTGCCTTCCAAATTAGCAGTACCAAGCCT